GCAATCATTAGCCTCATGCGCTTTGGGATCCAATGGCGTACCCTTCGCTCCATGTTTGATACACTGATGAAGTCTAAGCACCGGGTGCGTACGGGGTTTGGCGATTCAGACCGTGTCTTTACTCCTCTGACCCTGATTCCATTTCAAGGATGTGGACAAGGCAATGGGGCAGGACCTCCTATCTGGGTTGCAATTAGCTCCATTCTCTTGGGGATGATGATTAGCAAAGGCTTTGGTTTTGACTTTCTGATGTCAATCTCTTGGGCTCCGCTCTTGGCCGATTGCTTTTGTTTTGTTAGAATTAAGCAAAATGTGCTCTATCGTGAGTGCCTTTAGCGCTCAGAACAAACTCTCTGCAATCTAAATTCGTAATCGACTGTACAACACTTTCACGACAATAGATCTCCTGTGTCTAGGTATACTTTGAGTGAAATTGTTCCTATTTGATTAATGTTTGGCTTGAATTGATGATTCAATCACAAAAGTGAGTTCGACGATTTTCCCTTGGAAAATCCCTTGTTTACAGAACTCGATTTGACTTCTACGACAATTCTGTGTTGAATGCAGTACTTTGGGATATCTTGCATTATTCCCTACTGCATCGTACACAACACAATATTCCACTTGTACAGGATCTTTTCCTGTTTGTGTGGATACAGATTGTCCGACAGACTTGCGCCCGGCATACTTGCGTCGAATCCCGACATCTTGCACGATCAAAATCCGATCGCACGTGTCGAAAACCTCGTACTTGAATAGTTTCTTTTGGAACGTAAAAACTCATATTTCGTCATATCCCAACAAAGTCCCAGTGTTGGCGGGTTGGGCGAACGGTCCGTGGCCATTGATATGGTGAGCGGCAGCACTCATCCCTGATTCCATTCCAAGCGGCACGACGGATAAACCTCCTATCAGCACTGACAATGTCGGACACTGTGCATACCTGGAGGAACATTGGGCACCAATTGAGCCAGAGGAGATCATCTTGGTCAACCTCCAGGTTGAGGAAGAGATCCACCAGCAGAGAGTCGTCCTTACAGCGATGTGACAAGGCTGGGGAGTCGCAAGCGACATAGATGTCCAGACCCTCAAGTTCATGCCACACTCGTTTCATCCACATGTCGGAAGCTAAGATGGCCGTGTTGTTGTAGACTTGTTGCAAGATTCCAAAGGATGTCCCCGTTTCTAGTTGATGGGCTTGGAAGTTGGCCTCCATGTAGTCACCATTTTTGGTCCTGTTAGCCATGTGTCGGACCAACATCTCAAGATGTTTAAACACTTGACAACCAAACGGATGTGGGAGTCCAAGACCCTGATAGGACAGTGGAGCGAACACGACAGCTCGAGGGAAATTGCGACAGACGCCGGCCTTTGGCAGGGACACCTGAAGTACCGGAGACATAATGTCTGTCCATTGCTGGGCATCCAAGGTGGTTAGTGCCATGGGATACTCCAATTTCTTCATGATGGTCGACCTGATTGTTGGAGGCCAATTTCTGGCTGTATAGCTCTCCTACTGAGAGGGCTATAATACACAGACAGGCCTATGCCTCTAGTCTAAAAAAGATAAAAGGACTTTTATTTGAATGTTAATTCCAGTATCTATTTGTTGTTACCTGGATTGAATGAGCATTGCAGCTCATACAATCCAATGTCTTTTGCCAGTCAAAGAAGTCGGCTAGGAGTCAGACAGACGACTGTCAATCCACTTGGACCGATCAAACAGTCCTGGCAGGCGCGTGGCCGGCCGGCAACATTTGGGTCGCTCTAACAGGGTCGTTACTATTTTTTTCTTATGCGCGGGACCAAGCGACTCTGGTCTGGCAATCCCACCTGCGAAACCGCGAACGCGGTCTGCCCATGTCACCGTTGGTCTGGTCATTTTGGTCATATTCTCGCCGTCCGTACGTTGTCCGCCAGCTCCAAAAATACTACTTCCAACTCGCTCCTGAGATGTCGGGCAAGTCAAGGAGGGATCTTCCACGGGTGGTACTGGCGTGATGCCCAATACCATGTCGCGGAAGCGTGTGTACAAGCTGCCTTGTTGTGGCTTGGAGAAGAAATCTGCCAGCATGTCCTCCGTGGGACAATAGAGCAGGTGAATGTCACCTCTCTTAATGCGATCCTTAATAAAGAAAAATCTGATGTCTATGTGTCGCGATCTTTTGCTCGCAGACTGTCTACCATTCTTTTCTAAACGCATCGCGCTTTCATTATCTTGATAGTAATATCTCCTGCGTGTACGTATGCCTTGGTGTTCCAGGAAGTTCATAGTCCAGATAGTTTGTCCGAGACAGTCACTGGCGCCAACGGTTTCCGACTCCGTCGTACTTGTTGTATTGAGCTTCTGTTTCATGGAACATGCATATAAAGCGCCTTTGCCCATGGAAATCATGTTTCCTGGGATATGCCGCATTTTGTCGTGAATCTGATTAGAGATTGGAGGCAGGCCGGCTTGATCACCCTTTCTGCAGGGGGGTTGGTGATTCAACATCTTCCGTAGTCATGGAATTCAATCATTGTTTAACACTTCATGGTCTTGGTGGTGTTTTCAATACTCCTGTCTATACTTAAAAACATTCGTTAAGTGAGACAAGATGAAAATTGTCCGCAATTACCGTTACAATTGTACTCAATTACCGTTTAAAATGTTGTCAATTGTCGTCAATTGTCGTCAATTGTCGTCGACGGTCATAAGGACCATTGACAACAATGTCTGGGTCATTGACGACATTTTTCTTTGTGTCGATGGCTTGCGCACATGCCAATCCAGTAGCAGCTCACGACAAAACGATGGCGGTTATTATTGTACGCATGCAATGCCGTCAACTCCGTCGATTTTGTACTCAATTACCGTTAAAAATGTTGTCGATTGTCGTGAATGACCGTCGACGACAATTGACGACAATTGGCGACAATTGACGACAATGGACGACAATTCTAACGGTAATTGAGTACAATTTTGGGTATTCGGAAAAAGTGACCATAGCTTCGTATTACTTATTGTGATCATAAGTAGAAGCAATCGTGAAAAAACCTTCATTCATTAGATTCTCCGATGCATGAATTACCGTTAAAAATGTCGTGGTTTTTTCTCAATTACCGTTTCAAATGTCGCTGATTGTCCTGAATTACCGTTAAAAATGTCGTCGATTGTCCTTAATTACCGTTAAAAATGTATTGAACACTCCAAGGCAATGACCAAGGGGACCAATAAAATTTTTTGCTTGCTGTTAAAAGGCGTTATTCGACTCCTACTCGTCGAGAAGGCTGTTACAGACGTACCGACTTTCACATAGACACATACATCATCACAATCTGTTGAGGAGTCGACACATCATCACAATCTGTTGAGTAGACATATCATACAAATAGGACATCTAGTTTATTCACTCTGGTGGTACAGTATTTTGTTCAAAGACATCCTAGTTTATTCACTCTGGTGGTACAGTATTTGCTTCAAAGATAGGATGCCCATGGTCCATCGCATACTGGACAAGAAAACACCGATGTTGTGCTCCGTGTAGTCATCAGTGGTAATCGGAGGTAGATTGCCAATTGTCTCGAATCCGTAGATCAGCACCTGTTCCGGTGTCACTTCTTTTCCAACCATCCCAATGATTTATAGCACTTTCATTGTCCACCGATCACTTGCTTCCGAGCGAGGCTCACATTTTCAATTAAAAAAAAAAACGGTACAGTTAGCACGATCGAGGCCGTTAAAATTGTCCCCCATTACCGTTTCAATTGTCCTAAATTACCGTTAAAAATGTCGTCAATTGTACTCAATTACCGTTAGAAATGTCGTCAATTGTACTCAATTACCGTTAGAAATGTCGTCAATTGTACTCAATTACCGTTAGAATTGTCGTAGATTTCTTGTTGGGAATTTACGACAATTTCGGCATTTTACGACAATTCATGATTTTCCGCTTCGGCGAATGCACGACGAGCGAACTAGAGCGAACAGTGGTGGAAGAATTAACGCAATTTCTGCTTGTTAAATACTCGACTGGTCGCTTTTAATTTGCCCTAAGTCAATTTCATCATGAGAGACTAATGCAGAAAAGGGTGAAAATGACCACACGGACTAAAAAGAAACCATAGAAATCCGGATCTAGGACAAACTGCGGGGTATCCCTGTGTGAGACTTGAAATCTTTGTGTACCGCGAAGGCCACGTCGACCCATGTCTTCACTATCGTTAAATCATTGATCTTGATTGTTAGAGGCATGTCTATTGTATTGTTTAAATATGAGAGAACCCTTCGGAGTTTCTCCCAATCTTCTACAGAGGCCTTTTGCACCCGTCCTGTCAGAAAGGCGATTGGGACCATAATGTCTGGTCTGCATCGCTTTGTGACCCATAGTAGTTTCTGCACCAGGGAATGCAGAAGCTTCCGCTTGGGCTCAGGAAGCCTTTCTGCCGCGGGGTCCACGTGAAATAGTTTCTTGCTTGCTGGGTTTGCCACAGAGCGCCCTAAGTCTTCGCTGAAATCTTCGATGCATTCTTTGATGTGGTCCGGGACACTAAGTCGCACGGAACCATCATCGCAGAACTCCACTTCCATTCCTAAATAGGTGTGTTTCTTTCCGAAGCTTTTACGCATTTCTCCGAAACGATCTTCTAGTTTTTTAATTATGTCGTGTACCGCTTGTTCATTCTTCGACGAAATCTTTAAGTCGTCCACGTACCAGCAAATAGTGATTTGGGTTCCGCAGGAGAGCGTCTTGTTCGCCACACAAGAATCGTAAGGGTTCAATTCGAATCCATCTTTGATGAGAAACTCCGACAACATGAGCCACCACAACATGGCAGATTTAATGCACCCGTACAGCGCGCGTTTCAAACGCACGTAGAGGAGTTTCTTGCCGCTTTTGGTCACGTGGAGATATTTCGCGTACATTGGACATGCCTTCACAAGCATGTCCGCTAGGTCTCCTTCGAAAACCATAAGTACGAACTCGTCCATGAATGCGTGTAAGTACGCCCCGTCGATGTCACAAACGCTCACAAAACGTTTCTCATGCGCATCAATGCCAAGCGACAGTATCATCCCTTCGCAGGAGACAGTCGGCGAATACACGGAGTCAGGATCCGTCCATTCCCGCTGGGGGCGACCGTCCGCAACTACTCTACCCTTTAGTCGACCGTCACGCTTTTCTTTAATTAATGCTATTGCCCGTAGGGCCTTTTCTCTCTGTTCTTGCGTCAATTCGTTAAACATTCTTCCTTCAATGACGTCCTTTTCATGAAGATTGTGCGAAAGCTCTTTAACTAGTGCAGCAATTGCCAGCTCACCATGCTTCTTGATTCCTGATTTTGCTGTCATCTGATTTAGGAGCACGTTGAATGTTTGGTTGCCTAACATTAGGTGCATATAACGGTGCACATCTGCGGTGTTTTGTAGTTTCTCCGGCACATAACGCCACCAGTACTTCCTGTTGTCGCGATACGCATTCTCTAGGAATTTTGCTAGCGCAAAGCGTCCGATTCGTCGTGGGACACTGCACAGTAACTGTCGTTCTTTGGCCACGTGTGCTAGCGCAACGTCATCGCGCTCATACACTAAAGATGATGAGTCGCTAATGTTAAGGCTATCATTTTCTAATTGTCCCTCCGTTTCATCATGGAACAGGGGTTGCTCTTCTGGAGGAACGAATGTGACCTCTTCTTCTGGATACTGCGCTCCTGTTTCTTCACTTGGTTCATCTTCTAGATATTGCGCTCCTGTTTCTTCACTTGGTTCAACTTCATCCGCTCCTGCTTTTTCAGAGTCTTGCGCTCCTACTTCTTCAGGGGATAGGGGAGACTCCTCGAGGGCTTCTACGTACCGCCCTGTTTGATTAAAACGATTGTTCATGCGCTCTATGGCGGCGGCGCGGTTGATTTCGCGTTGCATGCGCTCTGTGACGGTAGCTTCGGTGTTGTTCTCGTCGGTATCGTTATCGTTACGCAACGATGTCAATGGGGCCTGCAGTAGCTGTGTTGACGTTAGGGTCGTTTGTGTCTCCAAATCCGCCACCAAAAGCGCAGTCTCATTTTCATGCTGTTCTTCTGCGTGCTCTTCTTGAGCACCTTCGTCACTATTAGGGCGTCAAGATTCAGCCCCCAAAAAATTACTCACTTTTGGTCGCTTCTCATCGCTTTGGTCGCTTCTCATCGCTTTGGGAAACGAGTAATTTCCATTCGGAACGAGTAATTTCCATTCGGAACGAGCAGAAACCTTATTTTGCTCACTTCTGATCGCGTTGTGGTCGCTTCTCATCGCTTTGGTCGCTTCTCATCGTTTCTGTCTGAACCAATCATAATTGGTCATCATTAGCTTTTGCTCTTAAGTATGAGTTATTCTTCACAAGGCAGAAAGATGATTTTTGTCATTGTTTGAAGAGCGGACAGATCTGCCTTGTGTTCCTGTCTATTCTCCAATCCAAAGCAGGCGCCACCAATGATCCCCACAAATCTGGGACACTTCGTTCCCGCCAACTGCATTTCCTCAAGTTTTGCTATGATATGAACGTGCGCGACGACTACTTAATGAATGGCCCCGACTTCCCTCACGAACGCCGCGTCGCAACCTTTGCCCTCTACACCGTGACACTTGCTACCGTTCGAACCCTTAAAGGACAATACATCAAGTCTGCTAAAATCAAGCAGTACCTCCATGCAGCAGCGTCTTTTATCTGCCTTTTTACCGGTCGTGATCCCCAACCCGAGCGATACCAAAATGTCTCCCGATATTCATGCCACCATTGCTGAAGTGGAGCGCCATAGTTACCAAGCTTACGATGCCAAACCTACATCTCTTACTTACGTATGGAGGACTGGCATAATCTCGTTTGGTACAAATTTGTAGTAGTATGCAATCATCCTAGGCCAATCACGCTAGACATCGAGTCATGAAGTGGAGGCGGCGCCTGGTAATCTGTAGGATTATGATCAGGCAAGACGGTAGACGGATTGGCAAGAGAAGACACCTGTCTTCACGTCAACAGTCATGTCATCTGTCGCTTAAGCGAAGTAACGGTAATTTATTGGACGAAAATTCGGGGACGATCGGCAAAGGCGTGAACAGAAGCATTCTTTTTGCCAAGTGCAAGATGAGACAATGAAGAGCTAAGGAACCATGATCATCTGAAACAGTTCAGAACAATTATATCTTTTTTTCCCACCATCCCACCCGGTTCCTGATTTATCTCTTCTGCACCAAATGCTCGGTACCATCCAGGTCCCAAATGTGTGTCACATTTGAGTCCATTGAGTCGAATATTCGATTCCCGTTTTCAAATCCGGTCCCTAATTCTAGTTACCAAGCTTACGATGCCAAACTTACATCTCTTACTTACGTATGGAGGACTGGCATAATCTCGTTTGGTACAAATTCGTAGTATGCAATCATCCTAGGCCAATCACGCTAGACATCAAGTCAGGCTTTTAAACCAAGGAGGGGCTGAGTTAGTAGTAATCTGGGAATGGTCTGCAACCTGCAACAACGAAGCGTCAATGACTAATGTTTCCTATTACTAATAATGTTATTGCTCTTCCTTTTTGCCGAATCGCCTGGGGAAGCATGCAAGACACGATTCTTCCATGATAATTTCAATGATGATTCATTCAAGGTTTCTATTCCTTCATTTGGGTGTTTTTCGACCAAGAATCTTACCAAAAGCTCGCGATTTCTCCTTTCTCTTCTTCAGTTTTTGGGGCACTCGGTTCTCTCGGTTATCATTGGTTTCGTTGCTGCTGTGCTTTTTGTCGAGACCCAAAATACTTACAGAATCTTCCATGCGCGGTTCTCCTCCGTTGCGAACTTCAGGAGTAGGAATAGTTATCTCGGATACTATCGCAGGACTCGATTTAGTTACCTTCGCATCGCGTTTCGCGGTGTTTTTACTGTTGGTATTCGATGACATGTTTACAGCCTCACGACTTTCGTCTTCAGATCCATCTTGATTCCCATCACTACTATCTTGCTCACCAATCCAGTAGTTTATATTAGCCAAGTTTGATAGACCATCGTAAACACATGCAGCGAAACTGTGCTCTGTTTCCGCATGCTGCTGAGATGCTTCTGATAGTACTGTGGGTTTTTTTTCGTCGTCAGATGCCTTGCTTTGACCTTCAGATCCGTACGATGCATCATCAAAAGGTCTGTCGAATGTCATCGCCTTTACAGCAACCTTTCGTGGGGGAGGTTGGGACACAACGATCGAGTTGCTCACCACGGAGACGGGATCCTTTCGATTGCTGGTGTTCTTTGCACGTTCTTGTCCGATTTTGTCCGTTACCTTGCTATCAATAGCTTTTCTGGAAGAAGACTTGTCCTGGATTGAACTGGCTTTCTTCAAACCCGATGCTTGCGCGGTGTTGCGTCGAAGACGAGGATCCACTCCCATGTCAACTTCGAGTGTCGTTGGGTCATCTATATTATGAACCGAGTTGAGGGCGCGAAGCTTTCTTGCCTCGTTCAAGGCAATTTGGCGACGAGCCTTCTCGTTTGCGGCAGCTGACCCTTCGCCAAACTTTTCGTCGTCCTCATTGCTGAAGCTTTTCCACAACGGAGGGCAACTGTCATCATCACTGAAAATAGACTGACCAAGACCATAGCGATCATTGCTTCTGACTTGGTCTTCTGTTTCCTCTTCCTGATCTTTTACTTGTTTTTGTTTCTCCTCCATGCTGGGTTCTCGTTCATCAGGAACGACAACGATCTGTTGTTCGTCTACTACCTTCGGTGCGTTTGGGATACCATCTGTCACCTTTCGGAGAATGACTTTGTGGAATGGGACGTGTCGCTGCTTCGGCAAAGAGGAGCAAATTTCTCCACCTTCTCCTTTGCGCAAAACTTTCTCTTTCTCCGGTGGCTTCGATTCTTCACTTTCTGGCAAGTCCTCATCTTTCTCTGTCGGTTTTTTAAAATAATAACGCGACTTCATTTTTGCCTCAATAACTTCATCTGCAGAATCGAAAGAGTTAAAACCGATTGCAGTTGGCACTTGATCCACAGTTTCTATATCATCGTATTCGTGGAGGTTTGCAAATGCCTTGGGCTTTCGAAAAACAGTCTCCACCACGGCTGCAGTCTGACCTGATTGCTTGACGTTGTAGAACTTGTTCGCCCTGCTTTTATATGCATCGATAGGAGGCTTCTCACCCGCCACTGCACTGACCCTTTGGGTCTTTCTCTGGTTTCCTCTCATCTCGCTCTTTCTGTGGTAGCTCTCCTCGAGCAAACAAATGATGATTGGAGATTGGCGATATCGCCAAAAAAAGTTGTCAAGCAGGCGGAAACGTACAATATAAGTTAACGTCTGTACGTCCCCTCACCACAAACGTGAAGAGTTAGCGTTAAATTGAGTAGCGAGGTACGAGAGATTTGGGACGAAAACGAGTACGATGACAAACATGGGGATTTTACAAGATGTGTGCGAATCTCTAGGTTAAACTATCTAACGTACGACTGACGGACACTCTCTGGTCCAATTAACGGTCCCCTCAAGGTGATACTGATGTATCAGAGAACCTTGTACTCCGAATTGGGCTAATATCAACCGTACCCCCTCTTAGGAGGACGTATCATCCAATACTGTCCAAGACTGACAATATCCGGCGACGGATGAAGACGTTTCCAAAAATTTAAATCAGAAGAGAAAGCCTTCCATTTCGCTTTGCTTTCCACATGATGTGTTCCATAAGACGGTCACGAACGGTTCCAGCTTGAATCTTGGTTAAAACATCGGCCAAGTTCTCAGCAGAAATGATCCATTCAATTCGTAGAATATCAATTGCACATCTGGAGCGAACGTAGTGATATGCGACAGCATTCGATTTCTTTTTCAATTGAGATTCAGGAACACTTGAGTTCTTGACAACGGACATATTGTCAACACAAGTATGACAATAACCTTGGATTGGGACGCCCATCATTCTGAGCTTGAATCGTAGTCCCTCAAGTAATTCAACACCTGTCTTTAGAGCAGAAAACTCAGAACCAAAACTGCTTGTCTCGACACTGTTCTGCTTTTTCGAATACCAGATAATAGGAGCTTTGTTAACAAAGATCAATACTCCTGTTCTTGATTGACGAGTAACAACGTTAGCAGCATGAGATGCATCAACAAACATAGTGAACTCTACCGCTTTGCCAAGGGGTGTAGGCATGTCACTTGGGAGTTCATCCTTAGTGAATTCATAGAACTGTGAGTAATCAGCTTTCTTCAATGGTCTCAGATGATCAGCATAACCACAATCCATCACAAGCACACGATCAGGATGCTTCTATAAATAGGCAAAAATATGTAAGGCAGCATGAAAGTGACCTTCACGAGGCATCGCATTGTAAGATGAGAGCATAGACACTTTGGCGGCGACATCGATACGACCAAGTTCCACAAGCCAGCTGACAGAAATAAATGAATATAGACTATAAGCCTATAGTTGACTAGTTCCTACAAGTTGATCGTTATCAATTCAAGTAAAAAGCATGCAGTGAGAAAAGCGATGATCCATCACTTTTCCACGCGAATCCTATGATTTGTCAGAGAACCGCTGACTCAGTTCTTTTCTACGCTAAATTAATGGCGTGTAACAGTTTGCGCTCGTGTGATGCGTGCAGCGCACAGGCTACACTTCAACCTGGGAATCCTATAGGTCGAGTCACAAGTCCCGTTCCTGTTAGAATTCTGTCACTCCCCAAATGGGACGAAGTGAGGACCTAGTCCTCTTGTTCAGCAGTATCTCCAGACCAGAACATTAGAGTCGGTAGTAGTGTCCAGATTTGCTGATGACCCCAATGTTTGCTGAGAATATCAGCTGGGTTGAGAGCACTGTCAATGTGGATAATAGATAGCATGTTAGCTGCTACTGCTTCTCTCACACGGTGGAATGACAATGCAACATCTTGATTGTGTAGCTTAGCTTCAGGTAGGGAAGAACTGTTCACGACAGATTCATTGTCACCAAACATGTAGCTTTGACCTCTGATTGGCACACCAAGGTACCTCAAGGATTGTTGGAGATCCATGATCTGTTTGGCACAGGTTTGAGTGGCTGCAGGCTCAGAACCATAAGTAGCAGTCTCAACAGTTGACTGCTCCTTAGATAAGAAATCAATTGAGGTTCCATTCAACATACACTTTGGTGAAGTAGTGTGTAGCAATCTCAGCTTGACTTGATTGGATGGACAAAGAAGTTTCTTCTTGTCCTTGACTATATTTCCAAGAAGTGTACAACCTTGACTTTCCAATATGTTGTGATTTCTAGCATACATAGTGTAGGTCACTGAATCATCGGCTCCAGTGATGCTCAGTGGTTTTGGGGTATTCTCCCCATGTTTCCATCCAATGGCCATACTGTAGGTCAGACCCAGGTAAGAAGGGTGTTCAAGTCGAATGTAGTGATGGTGGCATACAACTTGCTTGAGCTTCCAAACAATGGGGTTGTCCTTGTCAATTTCTGACCACTTGTGGATGTTTTGGTAAGCCATGACACGTTCATATTCACCTTTGTCAATGTTCAGGCATAGTTGAATATGTGCAGGCTGAATGTCCCTGTTGCAATTGTGCTTGTAGTTGAGCTCAACGATCTTAGCACCTTGAAAGACATGACCTTCATCTGGTGGGCTGCGTCGAGGTTCAGAGGATGACAACTTGCAAGTCAAGTCTATGAGTTTGTCTCGCTTTGGAGTAGACTCAATGACAAAGTTGATAGGCGTTTCAGGAACAAACAGAACAGATGGTTGCCTGCCTGACTTGTAAGCTTCAAAATCTGGTGGTCTAAGTCGTGACACATGGGCAGGGTCTAAATCAAATAGACCAGCCATGTTACATTCCAACCAATCAAGATCAGAAGCTTGTCCAGGATGTAGTTTGTACAGACCATTTGTTGCCATGACACAGTGATGAGTTTCAATGAAACCAATAGCATCATCTAAGGCAGGAGAATCCTTCAGAGTAGTGACTGTTGTGTTACGCTTAGTAAGGATGTCCACTCTATCAAATGGACTTTGTTCACCTGTAGACCCATCATCCGGTATGTCCACTCTATCAAATGGACTTTGTTCACCTGCAGACCCATCATCCGGTACAGACTTGGCCCATTCATCAACATCAAATCCATCTTTGGCTATCTTGTGATTCTTCACCTCTTGAGTAGCTTTGCGATACTTGGTTGCTGGGACCAGAGCCAACTTGTCTGATTTGGTCTCTTCACTTGTTACAGAAGTCAGAGTATCTGCATCTGCACTCCTCCCCATGCTCGAGTGCTGGAACTGTGAGAGAAAATCGGTAGTAGTCGACATCTCATGTAAGTTGACAGAATGTTGGGGGGATGGAGGTGGTTGCGCAGGAGGCTGATTGTTGGAACCAGCAGCTTCTAACTTTGCAGTGCAAAGAGATGTCTTGCAAGGAAGTGTTGCCAAAGATGCCAGACAAGCTAGGTAGGCAAGAGGATCGGGCTCAAGGTCAACTGATGCAAGATCAGTAGCAACCGGCTCAACAAGACAAGGATACTGGACATGATTGTTGTCAAGGGTACCATGTCGGGTTTTGGTCTCTGGGTCAACAATGGGATCAGGCTCAAGGTCGACACATGCAAGATCAGTAACAAAGGGCTCAATAAGACGAGGGTACTGGAAATCAGGCTTAAGGTCGACTGATGCAAGATCAGTAACAAAGGGCTCAACAAGACGAGGGTACTGGAAATTTTTCCTTGTCAAATCCCTTTCCAATGTGAGCAGACTGGTTCATGATTACAATAGCAAGACCGTGCTGATTCATAGTGAGGCCAGCACAAGTGGCAATTGTAACATTGGTCACTTGATGATTGTCAATGCCTTGCACATCAACAGAACGGTTGGTTTTGACAATGATGCGGACATCATCACCTGCAATTCCACCATTTGCACCTCGATCAACTAGAGCTAAATCCTTGCGAGTGCTAACACAGAGAACGGAGTAGGTAATAGTGGTTGCACATGCTTTATACCACACTCCGTCATGGTTTTGACAATGATGCGGACATCATCACCTGCGATTCCACCATTTGCACCTCGATCAACTAGAGCTAAATCCTTGTGAGTGCTAACACAGAGAACGGAGTAGGTAATAGTGGTTGCACATGCTTTATACCACACTCCATCTATGACGATCTCGTGGTTCTTGGCTTCTTGTTTGCCTTTGCAATGTTTGGTTGCAGGAACCAAAGCTAACTTGTCTGACATGTCACGTTGTAGCTCCCCAGGTTGTAGGGAAGATTGCTTGGTGACATGAGCTAAAAGTTTGTCATGTGTGGGCTCTTCATTCATTTCAGAAGTCAGAGTACCTACATCACTCCCCATGCTCGAATGCTGAAACGGAGAAAGGAAATCAGCGGCCAACATATAATGCAAGTTGACAGAACAGTGGGGGGGCGGTGGGGGTGGTGGTGCCGGCAAAGGTTTGTTGGAACCACCAAGTATGACAGCTTTAGCAGCTTCAGGAAGTTGATGCCAGGCACGTTGACCTTGATCATCTAACTGTTGCCACAGTTTGTTAGGTAGAAAGGTCTTGCA